TCTATCTATCTATCTATCTATCTATCTATCTATCTATCTATCTATCTATCTATCTATCTATCTATCTATCTAGGCCCATATACATATTTTACAGAAACAACAATATTTACATTCAGCAATTAAAACCTGCATTTTTTTCAGTAAATATCTGTAAAAATTGTAGTGTTTGACTGTTTTAAAATTAATAGTTATTTTCTGTTAAAAAAACAGTGCAGCAGTGCTTTACAGTAGGGTAATGTATTTTTTTCAGAGAAAAAATGTACAAATTACTGTTTACACCAATAATTTTTTTTACGGCAATTTCCCATCAAATCAACAGTTTTAAACTGTTTTATTGTTTACAGGTTTTCCCTGTCATGGTTTTACTGTTTATCGCTGTTAAATATACGGATATTTTTAACAGTGTAATCTTGCTGTAAGGGGAAAAAGGAGATTAAAAAAGTGAAATTTGTCTACTAACCCTTATAAAGTGTAATCATTTCAGGAAGCCTGCAATACTGTAGAATAGAGATAATATTTTCAGACAGGTCTGATTAGCTGTGCACAGAACTGACTGTGCTGAGAAACATTTCAGAACCAAGGAGAACAAACCATCTTATAACTCAGAGTCCAGGGACTTCATTGTTCGGTGATTACATCATCTACTGCATGAGCTCTTTTATCTGACGTTCAATAGAGCAATGTGCTAAATGCCTCAGTTGGGATGAACAGACATGAAAGACTTAATACAGAAAAAAAGATTTATTTAAAGATGTAGTTTAAAATTACTCACAGAATGGAAATATTAAAAACAATCACGGTAAAGGTAAAAATGCAACAAGAAATCAAAGTAGTCAAAGATGAAACAATAAAAAAACCCACTAAACAGAAATCAATAGCAGAAAACTTCTGTTATTTTTTATGAATGCAATTTATAAAGTAAGGAGTTACATTTGGAGGAATTTGTTTGCAGCTTTGATGCTATTGACACAAGGAGTGACAGTTTGTTGGCCTCTTCAGTAATCCAACTTCCACCCTTATGATTTTTTTTTGGGGCAGATCTTGCATAATTTCTTTGGAATACCTTAAAGACAAGTCGCTAAAAAGAAATACCAAATATTTATTTGGTATAAACTATTTTTTGTCTTGCTTACATGAATATGTCCTAAGCATAAAAAGTTACAGTTCACAACATATCTTTACTTTTATAAAGTCATCCCCAATGGCCTGAAAAGCTTCACTTTAAAAAACTTAGTGGCCCATGAGCCATCAATTGATGAGCACAGTTGTAGCACATTTTGTGCCTTCAGACACATTTTTAGTGAGCCAACATGCAGAAATGGCTCTTTTGATAGCAAAGGTGGCAGGAAATGTTTTACTGTTTTAAAACCAGGCTTTGGTCTCCATGAAACTGCCAGTTCTGATTACACCAGAAAATGTATGAAAAAGGTAACAAAAAACCCATTACACACACACAGTCTAATGCAGCTCTCTTTATGGGGACATTGTATTGACCTCCATTAATTAATACATTTCTACAATCTAACCCTGACCCCTTTCCCTAAACCTAACCTCATCTGAACCAAATTTAACCTAAACTCAATTAACACCTAAACCTAACCCCCAACCAACCAGCAGCATTTCCTCCATGGGGACTAGGCTTAGGTCCCCATAAGTACCAATTGGTCCCCATAAGTAGGGGGTGCATACCAAAAAAGGTCCCTACCCTACATACTAGGAAACATCTGCCCATACACATCCTTGTACTTGTATCAAACTGAAGACATTGTATTGACTTCCATTTCTTTTTGTAACTGTATTCATGCCTAACCCAGATATTTTCTCTAACCCTAACCAAGACTTAGTTCACACCATACCTCTAAACCTAACTAGTAGAGCGCAGTAGAGCTGCACTCACTTTGTTGGTTCAAAACATATTGTGGTCCTCACTCTGTAGCATAATCAAGTTCACACACACACACACCATCACATAAAATCGACACCAACAGCTTGATTCCAAAACAAGTTTTTATTGGCCAATTTACAGAAAGTGCTGTAGTGACCATTCAAAAGAAAAACAGACCAAAGAGTCCAGAGAAGAAAAAAAAATCAAATGTACACGTTATACAAGGTTTCATTGTTAATTTCACTGTCCTCTTCTAAAACAAATGTCGGGACAACATTAGGGCTCGAGCCAATGCAAAATCCACCAAAGGGTTTCAAGTGAGGAATGGAGAGAGGTGACATCACAAGACCAGGTGTCACGGCAGATGAGGAAAACTGTTAAACAACAAATGAGATCTTTACATGAACGTACAATAGAGCCACAGAACACATACAGGAGAGTCTTCCAGCTGGGGAAAAGGCTCACTGGGTCAAAACGAGGACACTTTTCAGCTGTTGGGACAAACTTTAAATCATCAGTGTCGGACTGTAAAAACAGAACAGCTCTGTTATCTAGGAACAAAACAGCATTCGTGGATTTTCAGCTATCAAATATCAGAGACAGATTAGATTTGGGATGACCATGGTCAGTGTAATGCCCTCTAACTTTAAGGTGAATAAAGAAACTTTCTGATCATGTGAAATGTGACACTGCCAATCATTCTTTTTTGTTGTTATGTCTCAGTTTGGTGGGTTTGTGTTCAGCAGACTGAACTGGAATTTATCAGTGTAACAAAACACCCTAGCCTAATATCCTTTACTGTTGCTTTTATCAGTTCTTAAAGGATTAAGTTTTAGAGTTTTAGTCACAGACCTAACAAATAAAGTACTTATCACATGTGGCAGATTATATAGTCCTTAAAATGTAGGTAAATGTTTAAAAGTGGATTAATAAAATAGTGATGTACATGAGAGGATTCTACAAAAGTTTGTTTAGAGGCTGGGCTGCTGACACTGGTAAAATCAACTTCACTTTAAATTTTAGGGCTATCTTATTAAAGGGAAAAAGTCCACTAATTAGTAGAAATCATGCTTCGAATGTCAACTTTAAGTTTTTGACTCTTGGAGATCAGGCCACATACAGTCAATAAAATCAATGTGTTTGCAAAAATGTTTAAGTAACGTAATTTGTTTTAATCTCTAGCACAAATTTGTTCAGTTACAATTTTCTCTATTTAAAAATTTCAAATTATGGGACATTTTTATATAGAATGTAGAGTGAACTTTCTTTAAAAGAGTCAAAAGTTTCCCTATTTGACCAGAACATTTTTATTGAATTACTGAATCCATAATTTCTTAGAGATGCTGGTTTGTCCAGCCAAGATAAGATAAAGAAGCCCTTGTAGTTTCCAACTAACTAACCCTACCCCTACCCCTACCCCGACCCCTAACCTAAAAACAAAACCAAATGTGAAACTTATAGCCTTTTTCACGCTGGATGATGAACCCACTGTGATTATCCAGAATCTGGATGGATATGCAGGGTCTCGGTAAGGTCTTCAGGTGCAAATCAAAAACTCAATGAGCTACTTTAAGTGAGGTCTTAGTAGTTAATTACTGTGATGGCAGAAAAATGGGTGGAGCATGGGAATGTGGTTACAGTGTATCCGCAGAATGGAGCAACATGCCTACCAACATAGCCTGATCTCTAGAATTTGAAGCAGGACTGGCCAGACTATGAAAAAAAACTAAGTTTAGATGTGATTGCTATAGAGGTACTGTTTAATAATCTTTGTAGCTGCCTACTGACGTTGTTCCAGAAAGTTGTGCCAGGGAGGGCAGAAAACAGCTTTTTTACAATAATAATAATAATAATTTTGCAAGTAATAAAAGTTTTGCTTTCATGTTAAAGGAAGTTTTCCACATTTGTTGCAATCCAACCACATTCTAATGGCTCATGTAAGTTGTGGACAGTTGGATTATTATCCAGCCTGAAAAGTGCTTCAAGAACTTTAGAAATCTTTGCGTGTAAAACTGTAGTTTAACTGTTTTTTTTAACAGAATGTTTCCCTAAATTAGTTAATCATGGGAAATGATTGGTTTACTAAATCATTTAGTTATTAAAGAGTCATTATTCACCTGGAATTATTTTTTTAACCAATGGGAGTTCTCTACATTTTTTGGACTTATTTCTCTTGACATTTTTCCTATTAATTTTTTACTGGCCACCCGAGACAGTGCCATATCCACACGAACAAACCATAGTTGCAGGAATGATCAGATCACAGAGCTAACGTCACACAAACAGGACTTGGGTATGGGTTCGGTAAAAGACTCCTGCAGGCTGAGAGTTCAAGGTGTGTATGTTTACAAGTACAGGTGATGAGTGCGGTGTATGGGGGAACAGGAGGGGAGACGTTTCATGTGGGGGGCAGGAGTGAAAAAGGAAGAGGGATCAGGAGGGTTGTTTGTCACCCACTATACTCAGTATTTACAAGAAGGGGGCGTAGTATAAAAATGTACAAGGAGACTCGTCTTTCTATCCCCAAAACTCAGAACTGAAACCCTGCTGCCAGTTCAACATGACATCTTTTCTTACTTTTTCCCCCTTTTTTTTCTATTTTGAGTACGAGTGAAAATAATTTTTTTTCTGTAAAATCTCCTGGCTTTGCCACATTGGCAAAAGACTGATAAATAATAAATATACAAACCAAAAATAGTTAAATTTTCTTTTAATTATGCAACTCTTTTTTTTTTAAATAAAAAGCCTTTTGAACTGACTGGAATGGAGACATCACAATGGAATTTCACACATCGAACTGGATGAACACTGGATTTCCTATAACTTGGTTTTACAAAAACAAACAAACAAACAAACAAACAAACAAACAAACAAACAAACAAACAAACAAACAAACAAACAAACAAACAAACAAACAAACAAACAAAAAAACCTGCAGCTGCAGTCCAGAGGAAGAAATCTGTCCCACCTTTCAAGATGGACTAAATTTAGTGAGGTTTGGTGAGGGATGACTGGGGCGCAAATTTCAATTCACATTATTTTTTAGCATCGGTATAAAACAAAAGGTTTTCATACAAAGCTAAATCACTTTGATCTGTTTGTAATCTTCAGTAAGGGGGGATAATATGTTTGCTTTTAGAGCATAAAGTCTTTTATTTCTGTTTTCAGCCGTCTGGTGTGGGCTTTCAGTATTGATGTGTTGGAGAATGTGTGTGTATATGTGTGTGAATGTGTGTGTGAGAGACAGAGAGATAGTAAGACAGTGTGAAAAGGTGTTTCAGTAACATCTTGTGTTCTCCCAGCTTTGACCCTTTTTGCTCGAGTGTTGCATCCTCGGTAGCTGTACGTCCACTTCCTCTTCGCTGTCATCTGACTCAGCGCTGGTATCCTCTTCATCATCTTCGTCGTCGTCCTCCTCCTCTTCTTCCTCTTCCTCATCTTCCTCGCTGGCCTCCTCCTCTGTGGCCTGTGGTTCCTCCGTATTCTGAGATGAAAAATGTTTGCAGAAAATTGAAAGTAATTTGGGAGTGAATTTACAGAAAAGGACCAAACAGTTAGGCAGCAATGTTATAACTATGCCAGGCCTCTATGTGGCGCTGTAACACTGCCATGAAAATACACCCAAAACAGGATACAAGGTGTGGAGCATACAGATGTAACTTGCAATTTTTTTTTCTAAAAAGAAATGCAGCATGTTGGATCTCTGACTTTGTAGAAACAAACAGATTATTATCTGTTTTGAGAAGCTGAGAAGATAAACATTATTTGTGATTTTACAAAATCATTCCCATGTGACCAGGGCCCAAATCAACATCCAATTAAAATGTTGCCAGCACCTTGTTTACTTTTAAGTAGCTTAATTTATAACTGAATAATAAAGAGCTAAGCTTTGACTGGATCTATGCAGATCTCCCACATCTTTTTCCAAAGTTCAGAATACATCAAAGGAACAGTGGTAGGCACAGTTACCCTAAAAGCACTAATAGGGGAACTAATTTCCTTATTAGTGCTTTAGGGCTTTTGCTTTTTTTTCAATTCATTGGTGGATTAGCACTTGCTAAGTTTATAGACTAAATTTAGAAGCACTAACTGAGGTCTTTAAATGTTACTGATCAACATTACACAGTTAAGGGTGAAAGCTGTCTCACATTTTGTTCGTATGAGTGTCAATTATCTACAAGGTCATGTGTCAAACTCAAGGCCCATGGGCCAAATGGGGCCTGCAGGTGACTCTCCTTTGGCCTGCCAAGTGCACTAAATGACAACATTTTGCACACAGTAAATATTGTCTTATGTTGACTCTGAAGAATTAGGTTGTATTAGTGCCTTAGAATTAGCGTTTGCTAAATTTTTCAGTGCATTAGTGCTTTAGAATTAGGGGACCTATTTGTGTTAGTGCTTTAGGGTTAGTGCAACTAATATTTAGATTAATGAAAGGAATAATCAAATGTTGGACGACTGAAGTGGATCTAAAGCTGTGGAAAAAAAACTGAAGGCCAAGCTCTTGCACTAACATGACTTAACACTAACACTGTTGTAGTGGAAGAAAACCAATGAATCCATTTGATATGAATACTAGAATAGTAATTGAGCATCACATTTTTTACATTCAAAAGTTGTTTCTATGTCTTAAGGCCCCCACATACTCGGGCGTACTTCACTCCATGGAGGACCACATGGACTCAATGCGGATTCAAAGTGGACGTCCACTGGACTGTATGCACAGAGGTCAATTATTTATGGCTGTGTCCAAAAACGGCAGGCCGGGTCCTCTGAAGGCCGAATTCGTCGGCCGCATACGTCACAGCGCCGCGACGGAGGCTGTCCCAAACCGAAGACTCCTCTGATGCGACCGAAAAATACGTCCTTCCTATTCCCCGATTTGAAGGACTGGTCTGATGGATCCTTCCCAGCCCAGCATATCCCATAATGCATTGCGGCCTGACCAGAGGATTTTTTAAAGCTAGTAATGGCGGACAAAGCGAGACAAAAGAATATGTTTTAAATAAAAAAATATGGCGATACAAAAATTTAAAATTTTTAGCGGTTGTAATTCTAATACTTTTATCATTTGTATAGACATGTTTTTAAATATTATTTTTGTCATAAAAAAATGCAAAATAAACATGCACCTATGGCAGGTCAATTAGTTCTTCAAATGTTAACTTTGTTAATTTTAATGTTTTGTGATATTAATAACACTAATATATTGATATTTTTCTCATTTTGATCTATTTTTGCTTCTGTTTAGCAACATCATGGTTGCTAGGTGACATGACATTTGCTGGGGTAAGGAGGGAAGGCTAGACCGTCCAAATTCAAAGCCTCTTTTTTTCTGGTCTTGCCGGTCTCTTTTTTTCTGGTCATCCCAGTCTACCAAGGACCCGGCCCACCTTGACCGGGTAGTCTGGGTCCTCCGGAGGACCC